TCTTTCCCTTTATTTTTGACTGTATCATACAATTTTTAATGTAGCTTTGTTCACAAAATAACCATTGCCTAGAATGTGCTCACTTTATCAATTATATATTTATATAGTACTTCATTCAGTCCTCACAACAACTGAGATAGGTCAAGAATTTCATTCTCATTTTATAGTTAAAGACATTTAAGTAACAAGTTTGGAAGGAAAAGCCATTTATAATTACTTGCTTTAAATTTGCTTCTAGCTCTTATTCTACCAAGTAGACAAAGGATTTTTAATTTTTGTTTTTATATTACATTTTAAAATAAATTTTGGTATCTATGAAAGAACATATATAACATTGAGTTATATAACTTATGATGTAATAAACAGTTAGGAAGCCAAGCACCAGAATAGTATCAGTCTCTTCCATCTATTTATGTTCTCCTCCCTTATGATACTTCTTTCATAGTTAATTATTCTCCAGAATTATGTCTTTACCATTTTTTTACTTTTTAAAATTTTAGTATCATGTACACCTGTTTTCATAAACTCTATATAATTTAATTTTACTTGTTTTTGACCTGTACATTTTCTCAGGACTTGCTTTCTGAAGTTACTATTTTGTTTCTAAGGTTTACATTACTATATTACATGATGAGCTATAGTTTATTCATTTTCACTACAGTATGTCTGTTTGAATATTTGACAGTTGGTCTAGTCTCATATTAACAAAACTCTTGGGTTATTTCTAGTTCTTGCTATACAAATATTGCTTCTACAAATATTCTTAGGCACGTGCAAGTTCCTCTAGGACACGAACATACGTTACTGGTTGAGTGTAAGAATGTTCATCTTGGAGTCCTGGACCTGGCAGCTTGAAAAAAACACTGGGTGTATGTGCGTGTATGCCCCAAATCCTGAGAAATGGAGAAGGGATTATGGTGTGACCGTCTCTCATGGGGGTACTTTCTAACCCCCCATCTCTGTCTCTGTCTCTCCCTGTCTGTCTCTCTCTCTTGGTCTCTGATAAGTCCATGTGCCTTCTAGCAAATAAAATTATGTTATTTAACTTTATTTATTTACTTATTTTAATTTGACCAGAGAGAGATAGAGTGAAAGAGAGAGAAAGAAGGAAAGTGAGAAAGTAAACCACCAGATCCAGGACTCAAACCATGATAGGCCCTGTGGGAGTCCAGCACCCTTAACTACCATGCCACCTATAGGCTCCATCTTTATGGTAACTTTTAAGGAAAAATATTTTGGTTAATTATCAATCTCTATGTTTAAAATTTTTTGTGTCATGTTTAAATACTTTTACCCCAAGATATTATACTTCTAATACTTTGTTTATAGATGTTTTTCAATATTCTTGTGTAAATAATGTCAATTGCGTTTTTTCCTTTCCAGTTCTTACGTGTCTAATTAATTCATTGCTTTTTATTACTATGTTAACTTAGACCTCCAGTACAATATTGAATAGAAGCCCTGGAAAGGTCATCCTTCTCATGTTTTAATTTGATAGTCTTTGTCTTTATAATTATTAATTGTTTTAAATTTTATTTATTTCATGAGACAAAGAGAGAATGGGAGGGAAGACTAGCACCTGTGAAAGACCTCACACCATGACTCTCACCTCCCAAATCATGCATCCTGACTCCCTGTCCTCCTAATCTTCTAGCCAGCCAAGATCACAGGCTTATGTACACATGCCCAGGGTATATAGGTTATCTCAGGAACCAAACCATGATCATCCATGTGGCCTCCAGCATTGCAGATTGTAGGACTACTGTTGTGCTGCCACAGCTCGGCCAGATACTTTATGTTGAAAGTGGCAAGTTTAGTTTATTTACACTTAAGCTTTATTCAACCTCTCTGGGTTTACAGTGTTGTTAATATTAATTATTTTTGTCCTGTTCTTAATTGTTAGCCTATAATTGCATATTGGTTTTGTTTTATATAAGCAACATTTTATTTGAATATCCATAGATTTCTACCATTTTTTTGCTCTTTTATTAATTTTCTCCTGTCTTTGCTGAAATAAACTCAATAGATAGTCCTTTAATTGGGTCTCTTGTTCACATATTTTCAGTCATTGTTTGTCTATTAACATTTTTCATCTTTTTTGACATATTAATCTATTAAGTACATAATTATAGGTTGGTGGTTATTTTCTTTTGACACTTCAATAATATCCCATTGTCTTTAATATTCTGTTAATGCTAATGAAAAGTCTTCTGTTATTCCAGTTATCATTTCTTTGTATATAATCTGTTCTTCCTGAATGGCTGCTATGTTTTTTCTTTTTTATTTTATTTTTTTTTTTTTTGAGAGATTTTCACTGTAGGGCACGTGCGCTCGCCAGACAGACAGAGAGAGACATAGAGACAGAAAGCGAGAAATCACCCCCCAGGGGGGATGGTCACGCCGCAATCCCTTCTCCTCCATTCTCCTCCCGGGATCTTGGGCACGCACGCACACATGCCCGGCGTGAGTTTTAAGCCACCGGGTCCGGGACACGAACCGCAGTCGACTACGTGGGAGTCCAGCGACATAGCCATTACGCCAACTGCTGGTTCCCTGTTTTTAACATTTAAATACATTTTATTCTTTTCAAACTGGAGTTCTCAGTAATTTTTCAGATAATCACTAAAAATACTACGATTACTTAATGAAGTTGAACCTTGTCTAATTCAACTGTGGTCAATGACTACTTTTAAAAGATGTTTATCCTTTTTTTTTTTTTTTTAAAGATGTTTATCCTTGAAGTTTTACAATTATGCTAACATGTGATGAATCTAAGGATTGTTTTATTTGTGTTTATCCTGGTTGAGATATATTATATTTCATGAATCTCTGCATTTAAAAAAATAATTTCTAGAAAAGTCATAGGTATCGTCTCTTTAAATCCATCCCACTTTATTCTCTTTATTCTTTCTTCTATAAATTCTTAATAGACATTTGATCTTCTACATCTTCATTATTTTTATATTTCTTTTATTATTATTTCTTATCACTGTCTCCTTCATTTCAAAATAACTTGAGGGTAAAAATGTGTGACAGTAGGAAATCATTGATAACTCATGTTTCTAATTGGTCAGCAAGCCAATTTTGATGCTATCATCTCCTTTTATTTTTCTCTTTAAAATAAAATAAGCTAAAATGTATGGCAGATACATGTTAGTATGAGTCCAAGTATTTGTCTAAGGAGCTAAGAACATTCTGGGTTTACAAGCTGATGTCTGAACTATAAGAGATGAGAGTACTGTTCTGTGATTTCAATAATCCTTCCCTTTTTAAGTATACAAAGACTTGGCTTTTTGAGGCTCTGCACCATAGATGTGATAGAGTTAAAGAAAGAGCTTCATAAAGTAGCCTAAAAATAAAATTCATGAAAACATAGCCTAAAAATAAAGTTTACTTATAGTCAGCTTTTATCAGTATTAAAGATCATTAAACTGTTTGTCTCTCTCAGTGAGTTTTGGAACGTAATTTAAAAGTTACTTTATCAATTAAATTCTTTGGAACATTGGTGAATTTAGTTAGTCCTGTCACAGGTTAAACTTGATCTTTTTTTAGTTAGTTAATTTTTTTCCATGATACAAAGAGAGAAGAGATAGGCACCCCAACAGGGTCCTCATGCTGTGATTATCCCCAGTTTCGGACAACCTGCAGCATAGGCATGTGCACACACTTGCGCCTGGTGTGCTCAGAGAGGATCTGGGACACTAACCCAGGACCTTTTCCATCTGAGTCCATTGGTGCTAACGCTGTGCCACCTCCCAGCCGGAGAGATTAAAAATTAAAAAGATTCTGCTAAATAGAAGACAAAAAGAGATATATACATTAAATGTGAACTTTTAATTATTGCTACAAGGCTTAAAACTTAGAGGGTTCAGGTGTTTGCACAGTGGTGATTCAACCAGACCCACATAGGAAAGGTCTTGAGTTCACATCCTAGGATCTCCCTGAGCATGACAGATATGAGTATGCTTGTGTTTCAGGATGATGAAAACTAGAGATGGATCGTGGCATGGAGAACTTGTTGGGGGGTGCCTGTTTTTCTGTCTTTCCTTATCTCTTTTTCTCCCATTGAAGAAATAAATTTTAAAAATAACTTACAGGTAACTGTCATGTATAAGATTTCATTCTGCATTTTATGTTGCTTGTGTAAATACCTTAACTCATTTAAGAAAATGTCCTGTTTGCAATTGGGATTAAAGGAATTTACCTGTACTCTTTTTTAAAAAGTTCTTAAAATAATTAAGAGAAATCATTATTATTGTCCCACACCCTGTGGTTAAGAAGACATATTTATATTTTTTCCCTTTTTTTGGCAGGGTTGTTACAAGTTGAATTGAAAACAAGAAAAACTTGCTTTTGGCGCCATCAAAAAGGAAAGCCAGATACCTTTCTTTCCACAATTGAAGCCATTTACTACTTTCTAGTAGACTACCATACTGATATATTAAAAGAGAAATACAAAGGACAATATGATAACCTTTTATTTTTCTATTCTTTTATGTACCAGTTGATTAAGAATGCCAAATGCTCTGGAGATAAGGAAGCAAGAAAACTTATCTCTTAGTTTTTAACAAGAGGCCTGTGTCATTTTATTTTGCTAAAATTAATGAATTTATAATTATACTTTGTTTATTTTTGGTAAATAATCATGTATAATACTTGTAAGACCACTCGAAAAAATTTCATTTCATTTGTTGCTCATCATATTTAGGAAATTGTAGCTAAGGGATTTTTTTCAGAGATAATTTAACCAAAAATCTTATTTTAGAAGTTATTTGCTCAAATTCGGCATATCTCAATCTCACCACCACATTTTAATATCATAAAGTGTTATATTTGTATAATTTGATATATCATAAACCTAGTTATATGGTATTAGATATTTGTTTAGAGATCTTTATATATTTTCAGCACCACTTTGGAACCACATGAGGTCAGCTGAAAAAGATATGATAAGTGATTTGTTTGAGGTTAATGGCAAACACAGGTAGACCTAGAATTAGAATTCCAGTCTGTAGGACTATTTCTTTAAGTTCACATTTCTTATGATGTTGCTTTTTACATCTGCCTAGCCTCTTTTTTAGGGGAAAATTGCTAACAATTATGTTGTTCTGCTGTAAGGCCAACATGTGACCCAGTTTTGCAAACTAAGTGCCCTCACGCCCTGAACACAGTGATTAATCCAGGAATGAACTCATGACCCAACAGTACTAGGGTCCTTCTAGATAAGTGATACGGATACTGTAGGAGATGAGGTTTATAGTTCAAAAGGCAGTAGGGGATAGTAGTTACAAGAACCAAGTTTGGAGCTAGAGTACCTAATCTAAATTTCAGCTTTTCTTTTTTGACTTTCCAGCTGTAAGTCAGTTTCTTTATATGTGAAGAGTGGGTAATATTAATGCATTTGTGTATCAATATAGTACATTAGTATATAACCTTATAGTATTATTTGGAGAATTAACTAAATTGGGGTATCTAAGAAACTTTAAATAGTACCTGAATATAGTAAGTGCCATATGTGTGTTTACTTTTTTTATTACTTTATTTGGAGTTACGAAGCAGCCTAGAGCTGCTGGTGGCCATCTGCTCTGCTGCCTCGTAAATAGCTTGCCTTAGAATGATGGCAGCAAAGGAAACAGAGCAGAGAGACTGAGTCCTGGCAATGGTGTTTAATCACTGAGATCTAGCTGCTTGTGGCTGGAACTCTGCTGTGCTGGGTAGCTTCTCTTTAACCCTCCAAATTCACCCTCCACTCTTTTCCGTCCTGTGCTCTGCTCCATGAGGTAGGTTCCTTGCTCTCTAGCTTTTGTTTGGGTTAAACAAATGGGAAGCACTTGTAGATTGTGAGGAAAATGAAATTATGTTTTTATTTCCCTAGCTCTTTTCCTGCCAGGTCACCATGGGTTAGCTATTTTCCTGAATGCCATGTCATCAGACATCTCTTCCCTTCTTAAGCAGTTATCTTATTTCCCTCTCTAGGTTCAGATCCCCACTCCATCCCTTTCCTTGTTTTCACATAGAAGTAGTAATGGCTTCCAGTCGTTACTAGCCCAGGGTGGTTCATTGCCCTTTTCTGTGGTCCTTAATCCCTGCTTATATTTTTATAAAATGTCATTTTCTTATACTCTTCCCAAATGTGCTCTTTTAAAGTTATCTTGTTTCCTTTTTGGTACTCTGATAAATTCATACATCAGATGCTAAAAATAGCAGTATATTTTCTAAAACATATATAGCAGGACATATAACATGTTTTATGGGAAAAAAAAGCAGACAAGATTTTGGTGAAATTAGTTTGTTTCTATTATATTTCCCTCTTAGAAATTCAAAAGGCACAGCATATTAAAGGTTTTGAAAAGCCCTGAAATAAATAGCATTTTGAACTTGATTTAAGCTTTTGTATGCCTTCAATTTACTTGAATCCAGAACATCTATAACATCCTGTAGAAATAGGATGTATGGAATATTACAATTTACAGTAATTCCTGACTGTATTCGTGTGACAACTGAACACTGAAGATGTTAAGTAAAAGGTCACACTAATTAGTGGCACAATCTTATCTGGAATGTGATACTTCTTATTTGGTTGGATTCAGTGAGGTATTGTATTACAGTATTCATATAAAGGAATTTGATTTATATAAGGTTTGAACATTATTAGCCCCACAATCTTAGCCAAATAAACTAACTGGCTTGCTTATTTAGCTGTTATTATACTAGAATGGAATTAAAATAGATTTTTTTTTTCATGTTTAGAGCTTGGCTTTGGGAATAGAGGAAGGCTTGAATTGATTCAAGCAGGGCCAAAACTGGATTTCTCTAGGCTAAATGTGGATTTCCTTTTGCCAAAATTGATTGCTGTTTTCCTGTCTCTATAAACCAACTAAATGTAGCAGTTGAGATTAAAAGAATTTTTTTTTTTTTTTAAGAAAAGAACAATTCTATCACTCATTTGCCTCTGTCTCACAGCTGGCATGGAAAGATGACCCAAATACTTCAGAGGAGCCTAATTTATAGCAGTCCAGATAAAATCTCAAATTTTTCCCAAAAGAAGATTATAATACCTGTTAGAACAATGAATTTACTGTGCTTGTTTTTCTTTGGTCTGATAGACTACAAATATGACCCTAAATCTTTATGCGTCCCTCTATTCATGGTCCTTTTTCAAGTTCCTTTGAAATACCCTCACTCTGATCCTGGGTCATATGCATTTCCAAAGTTCCAGTGTATTTCTTCTTACTCTTGTTGACCTAGAACATGCTTGGCTGGGTTAAGCTGCTGGAGGATGAGGCCCTATGGTATAGAGCCACATTGCCTGTTCATCCTCACTGAATACTGTCTAGATTGGCTCATAGACAACAACTCCCACATATGTGAACAATGCTAGTCAAGATCAGTCAAACACCTAACTGACACCTGATTCCAGACAAGTGAGGAAGGAGTGTCTGTTGTTATGCCACTGAAGTTTTTTAGCTGATTATTGTACAGCAGTATTATAGCAATAGATATTTCATCCTGTGGTTACTGTATCAGATACAACTTCTTCAATATCTAAAATGATTCTCAACCTCACTGTTCCTTGCACTCTGACCACTGACTGTGCTTTAGCTGCCATTTTACCGAGGGACAGATTACTGGCAGGTCAATGCCAGTCTTAATTCCAGAAGTAATAATCTGGAACACCAAAATCTGGAATGTTGAAATCCTGAAAGATTAAAATCCCTGAAGTCTGAAGTCCTGAAAATATTATTGTGGAGAAAACAACTGTAAAAATACTTTAAAAGTTATTCCATTACATTTTTTAAAGAGAGACTACTTGTTAAACATACAAAATCGTAACAATGCTTCATAGACCACACAATAAAGTAGACAGTAATAACATACATATTTTTCTAAGCATAAATACTAAGGTATAACACCAACAGTTAAGAGCAGATGAACCATATTCATAAAGAGGCCCAAAGGTAAAATGTATAAATGCGTTTCAATATGGATGGTAGTTTTGTGCACCCAGCTTCTAAACTGCAGGCATCTGAAACAGAAAACCAAAGTCATCTGACAAAGTGGATTAAAAACCACAATAAGTCACCACTGCATTTACAGCTGACTAAAGAATTGAGTTGAGATAGCAAGAAAATTTATCTTTCAAAAATGCAGATGCATAAAAAGGACATCTCTTCATTTACTGAGGAATTTTAAAAATATTTTTACATAATGTGTATACTTATAATGTACATATTATGAGAATGCACATTTATGGGCAAATTTGAAAAAAAATGCCTAAAACAAAAGCTTTCACACAACTTATAACTTGAATATTAGAAATGAGAGGCCTTGAGAGAACGCAGAATGAAAGTAACAAATGACGTCAAAAAATCTAAAGAAAATGTTCTTTTGAAAAACAAGAAAGCACCCCTGAGGAGCTCTATCTTTAGCGAACCACCATCGCTTCAGGTAAGTGGCTAGGTTTTCCTGAGGTGGGGAACAAGGTTGGGAACGTGCCCAGAAGAGTCCATGTTCCTAATGATATTTTACTACAAACCCTGTGTGTCTGTTGGAGTGTGACGTGGAGGACGCCCACTGGGCAGCCTTCGTCTGCTAGTCAGTGTGCAGCACTCTGTTTCCCAGTAATGTGTGCTCTTTCACAAAACAAAACAAAACAAAACAAAACAAAACACAAAGATGAGTGGCTAGGTTTTCCTGAGGTGGGGAACAAGGTTGGGAACGTGCCCAGAAGAGTCCATGTTCCTAATGATATTTTACTACAAACCCTGTGTGTCTGTTGGAGTGTGACGTGGAGGACGCCCACTGGGCAGCCTTCGTCTGCTAGTCAGTGTGCAGCACTCTGTTTCCCAGTAATGTGTGCTCTTTCACAAAACAAAACAAAACAAAACAAAACAAAACACAAAGATGAAACACACAGCAGAGCATTATTTGTAAAAATTAATGTTGACAATTGAAATGGGAAAAAAATGGGGAAAAAAAAGTCAAAATCCATTTCCCCGATTTTGGCTTTCTACCCCTCTTGTATAGCCTTTTTTTCCAATAGGCATTGCAATTTGTGGGATTTCAACTTTCAGAATTTCAATATTCAGGATTTTAATCTTTCAGAATTGTGATTTGGGGAATTTTAGACATCAATGATTCTGATGGTTGGAGATTTCAACTTTTAGAATTACATCGTTTGGGATTCAGTTCTGTGGGATTATAGTGTGTAGGATTCTCTTTTGTGAGATTATGGCCCAAACTCCAGGAAGGCTTGTCTGAATCCCCTGCTTGATTTCATTCAGTCACAATGCAGTGCTTCTGGACCCTGGCAATACTTTGTCATACAGTTTTCTCCCTCAGGGGTTGTGATAGGGCTAGGTGATAGAGTCTGGAAGATCAGTGAAGTTAATTGCCTAGGAACTTGGATCAGTGGACTAGAGGAATGTGTCAGATAAATTCCTCAAGTTTCTTCTGATGGACGGTGTTGAGGAACTGTTTTTCCACCTGCCTATCCAGAGATGTACATGTGGCTAAGCGATATCAAAAAGTGCTATCTAGTAATTTATCATTTTGTATCTGCCTCCTATTTTTTGCTAGACTTCCTTCCTTCCTTTACTCTTATTCTCTACTTGTATCTTTTAATAAAGTAGTAGCTTTAATCTTCCTCTATGACTTATAGGAAAACCAGGTGTTTAAGATGGATTTGGTCAGGAAAGGAGACTCATTACAAGGGTTACATGAATAAAGAAGTTTGATGTAGGAATTAGGGTTCGCTAAAATGTGGGAGTTACTGGTAAAGGTCTAGAAAACTGCAGGAGGGGAG